CCAAACATGAGACTATTTTTTTTTTGTCCCGTCACGTCCCATGTAGTTTGCATACCAAACGCACCCTAAGGGGTCGTTTGTTGAACGTTTATCCAGTAAGTGCTTACCAGGTAATTTTCTTTATCGGATGAACATGGTAAGGTTTTAAAATCTTAACCGGTTAGAGCGGTAAAAGTATGGAGAGTCTTACCCGGTAAGAGTGGTGAAAGAATGAAGAGTCTTACCCCAGTAAGTGAAAGTGACGACTCTTACTTGGGTAAGTACTTACCGGATAATTGTTGCATACTATATCGTTTTGATGCACTATAATCTTACCTAAAAAATAAATTATAGTGTTCACTCCTACCAATAAGTATTTACTGGATAAGCATTTGAGTAAACGGCCTATAATATTGGATTGGTCGATTACTGGATAGCAATTCATAATTCAAAACATACTTAAAATATAGAAATTTGATTAAATTATAAGCAAATAATCTTTTACTTTTTTCTAGATTTATATTTTTTTAATAAAAAGTTAATAATTAACCTATTTTATTCTAGTAATATAATAAAAGTAGGTTGTATTTCATATAAAAAGAGATAGGGTTCTATTTTTGGTAATATATTATTTTAAATAAAAAATATATTATTTAATAAAAATATATAAGAGAACTATATGTTACATGTAAATCTTTATCCTGATGAGGCAATTAACCATCACTGATCGAAAATACAAGACCTTAAATAGTTAGCGACACTGCCTTTGAATTGAGAATTAAATCCAGGGAAGTATAAATTTGATGATCATCATGGCAAAATGAAATGGACGACGGACTTTTGGAATCAGCCCTGGACCGTTGGGGGTTATAAATCACTGAAATTCAGAAAACGTGTTTGTGATGACGGTTTTGTGAAAACTCAGTTAATTAAGGGTTGGTAGTTTATTAAGCACACAAATTTAGATCTACATACTACAATGAATGGCTTAATGATAAACTTGACGTAGCAATGCTTACGACAAAGAGACAGACAATGAGAGAAGCTTGATGATTAAAAGGTTTGACTTGACAAGAGATAAAAAGAATGTGGTCAACATGGGACAGGTACTCGGACCCGGTTCGATTAGAGAATCTCCAAGTTGGTTGGGGATGGAGACGGGGTTCCCCAAATTTAGAAATCGAAAACGGGTATAACCTTACTACGACCAAGTAAGGTGAATGGCATGTTCATGTATTTCATTTGCTAAACCTTTAGGATTAAGCTCTTGCATTCGATAAGTACTTCTACCTTATCAACCAAAGAATGAGCTTAATATGATACCCAATATATACGACAAGGTCTTATACTTTTTTCGGTTCAAAACAGGGTTCGGTTAGAATTGTAGTTCCGTTACGACTTTCATTCAGGTTCGTCTTATTTGGCTTAAAACGTACTATGTAGGATTGATTGGTGGATTGGGTCGGGTCTTAATCACCATAGAGCATTGTTGACGGTTGGTCTGAATCTAAAAAGCAATTATTATTGAATAGAGAAAACAGTAATAATAATGGTTGGGTGTTGGATGTAGGCAAAGGAGGAAAAAAAGGAAGTGTGGCCAGGCTGGAAGTGCTTTTTCCAATCAGTCAAACCTCATCTATGCTACATGTCTCATTGATTGTCTGTCTACCGTTATTTTCCCCATCTTTTCTTTTTCAAACCGCCGTATACATAATACAAGGGAAGTTTGGATAAAAATAAGTATTTATCGGTAAAATTTAATACTATCATTTACTTATGGAGCAAGATTTTATTTACTAAAATGCATCGTATGCAACAATTTATCCCGGTAAGTGCTAACCATGGTAAGAGTCCTCGTTTTTACTTACTGGGTAAGACTTGAGATTCTTGCCTTCGTACTTACCGTGTAAGATTTTTAGTTCTTGTCATATTCATTCCGTAAAGTAAAGTGACTTGGTAAACGCTTACCCGGGTAAGCGTTTGGTAAACGACATCTAAATTATAGATTGGTTAGGGGTATGGACAGATTTATAAAAGGGCACATGGTGGTATGTGTTATTGTATTATCTTTGTTGAAAAGTTAAAAAAATTACGTTTATGAAAGGTGTAAGCGTATTGTTTTAGAAGTTGTCACCGTATGATATTCGATAGTTCGGGAAGGCGTAACCGTACCCCGTAATCAACAAAAAAACCGAAAAGTCCATCGAAATCAATAACAGAAACTAAAATATTCCTTGAAATCAAGTAAAAAAACTTTAAAAAACCCTCGAAACAATGGAATTAGGCTAAAAACACATCGAACGATATTGAACGTTAGTACAAACGTGAAGACACGTCGATAAGAACCATGTTTTTGTAAGTATTTGTGTCTATATTATATGGTCCCACTGTATAAAAGAATTTAGGGATACGTCCCTAGTTAGGAGTGTTAAAAACCCGACTAATCTGGTCAACCTAATCCAACGCAACGCGAAATAACCCAACATGAAGCAACCCGATATAATCGGGTTGTAAAATTTTCAAACTGTAGGTATTGGGCTAGAATTGGGTTACGGTCATTTGAATTCAACTGGACGAACCCGGTATCCTTTTATTTATTGGTATTAATATGATTGATAATTCTTCGTGTACACTAAATAATTACACCACTACGTACGCTCTTCATATACGTATATTTTTAATCTCTTCTATATATCTATTAACTTCTTCGTATATATGTTCATTAAATGTGAACACACACACTCACACACACATATGCAAATTGCGAGAAAAGTAGTTGAACATGATATACTTATGAAAAGTATGGATAAGTTATATCAAAAGATTGATGATAAAAAAAGAACTATGAACAGAGAAAAAACATATTCAAGGTAACAACAAAATTTTGATGTACTAAGGTATCAACCCGACCAACCTGTACGGTCTGGATTGGGTTGAGCGGCAATTTGATTTGGGTTGAATTGAGTTAAGATTTTTGAAAATGCAAACATTGGCTTGTTATTAAAATGTCTTCAACTCGATCAACTCAACCTATGAACATCCCTAAATGTGGTACATGTGGTTTATACTTCTAAATTCTATCTGTAATGGTCCCAAAATCAAAATAAGTATAAAAATAAGACTCGTAGTTTGCATTTTCACACTCTTTGAGTCATACCCTCTTAACATCCGTTAATTTTTCTTGTTAGACCAGTTAAATCTAATGCCATTTGGATGCCTTTTCACCTTTTTTTGTCTTTCCTTACTAAAAAATCATATTATTTTTTATATTTTTTATATTATCATATATATATATATATATATATGCCTAATCAACTGAGAATTAGATAGTTTGTGGTAACTGTTAGATTTAATATGAGTCAATCATTTTAGATAATTAATGCTATTTACTCATAAAACAAATGGTAAATTAGTAAATTGTATTGATTATTCAATTACTTTAATTAGTTTAACATTCCAATTTACTTTAATTATTTTAATATATGTGTATACACACACATATGGACATACAAGAATCAAATCCGGTGGCATTCTTCGGCACCTACCACCACTGCGTTGACCTCCTCCGGTCATTTTGTCTGACCAATCGACCACTAAACAACCACCCGCGACAGTGGTACCATACCAACTGTGGTACCACATTGGTCTCAAAGTTTACTTGCTGTGTTCTGAGTATCACATTGTATGTATTTTGGGTAAACAAAAGTCGAGTGAAATTAATGACACCAAATTGACGATCATATTTTTCTCGTTAATTTGACATTCGTATTGATACATTTTTTTCATCAGTTTTTTCATAATTTTTTTGGTTTTTCATTTATTTAGCATTTTTCCATGAACCTATATATTTTTCAGTTTTCCATTTATTTAGAGAAAACCTTGGAAAAAGGAATCGTAGAACTACGAAAAAACGAATGAAGGAATATATTAAAATGGATGTCAAATTACAGATAATAAAATGATTGGTTTTTGGTAATTTGCTTTACTCCAATCATTTGTATTCATTGATTTTCGATCTAAACATTAAAGAAAAATATTTGTATTTTAAAAAAACTGTGGTTATAACCATATTTGTAATCACCTTTGTTGATCATCCCAATTTAATGGCTTGGATAAATTATTCAGTTCTTTTCAAGGTTTTCTCTCAATCTTATTCATATATACACACAATCTCATCACGGTTAGCATTACCGGGTAAATTGTTGCATACGATGTCGTTTTTGTTAACTAAAATTTTACCCGTAAAGTAAGTGAGTATTGAATATTACCGCCAAACGCTTACCGTGAAAGTGTTGGTAAACCACCCCTTAGAGCTTATGCAGTCAACTATACATGATTGTTTGATAGTAGCTTAATGATATAAAAGGTGACTCGTTCAGTATGCTTCTAGAGAAAAACTTTATGAAGAAAGCAAAGTTTTTTCCGAACATGTTTCTTACAGTTAAAAAATATGCTCATTTTATTTATCAAAAAACCTTTTTAATTTATACAGACAGATTATTTACACAAATAATTTTATCTACAAAGAATTGGATGAAAAACCAACGATGAACTTGATTTTTTTAAATTAACCTGGATATTCAACCCGCTATGCGAGCCGACTAATCCTAAGACGACCATCTGTTTTGCAGATAGCCTGGAGTTATCGCATTTGGACTTCCGTAGTCACAAAGAAGATTTTTATTTCTTTTTGGATTTGAACTTAAGACCTACTGATACTTTTGACCTTCGAAATCAAACTTAAACCAATCAGATACCACTCTTGTGGTTTGAACTTTAATTTATTTAACTTGGAGAAGGGTTCTTGGGATATTTTGGAAAAACTAAGAAAACGAGAGTCGTATTATGTGTAAATGGGTGCAATACGATATTTTGACGCGTGTTCGTTAGCCAGCTGGATCCCAAATACAACCTCTTGCTAAAGTTACCGCCTGTCCTCTTTCATTTCCTCACAGTCTCAACCGTATATAAAACTGCCATTTCTCCCATCTTCTTCAACTTCACCCCCACCCTAATCCGAATACAAATATGGATCGGATCAAAGGTCCATGGAGCCCCGAAGAAGACGAGATGCTACAGCAACTAGTCGAAAAGCACGGCCCCAGAAATTGGTCCCTCGTCAGCAAAACCATCCCTGGTAGATCCGGCAAATCCTGCCGGCTCCGGTGGTGCAACCAGCTTTCGCCGGAGGTCGAGCACCGACCCTTTTCGCCCGAAGAAGATGAGACCATTCTCCGTGCTCATGCCCGATTCGGAAACAAATGGGCCACGATTGCCCGATTGTTGTCGGGTCGGACCGATAACGCCATTAAAAACCATTGGAACTCGACCTTGAAGAGGAAGTGTTCTTCCATGACGAACGAAGAATTCAACGAGTTTTCGATCCAACAACCGTCGTTAAAAAGATCCGTCAGTGCCGGGTCGGCTGTTCCCGTTTCGGGTCTTTACTTGAATCCGGATAGTCCGTCTGGATCTGACGTCAGCGATTCAAGCGTGCCAACGATTTCGTCGACACACGTATACCGACCCGTGGCGAGAACCGCCGTCGTCAGTGACGGTAGGACGCCACCTCCGCCGCTGAACGATCCGCTGACGTCACTGAGCCTATCGCTTCCTGGAGCCGAGTCGAGTGAGTCGTCGTCGGTGACACATCCTCCGCCCGTCCCGAAACCAGCGATTCCGTCACAGCAGGTTCCGGCAGCGATTTCATCGGCGATGCAGCAACTTCAGGTATCCCAACCGCCGGCGACGGAGCAGCAGGAGAAGGCGGCTCCGCCGTTCAGTGCAGAGTTTATATCAGTGATGCAAGAAATGATTAGGAAGGAGGTGAGGAATTACATTACCGGCGTAGAACTGCAACAGCCGACAAACGGCGGTGGCGATGGTGGTGGATTTAGGAGCGCAGCGGTGGGAAATAGGATTGGGGTAAACAAGATGGATTAGTATTTTCTACGTTAATTAAATTTGTTGACGGCTGATGATCAACGGAAAATGATGATCGGAGATGGCCGGAAATCATGGAAAAATGCGAATTGACGGAGATGTTAATTCCATAAACATGGATCCTCTCTGGATTTCCAAAATTGGCCAACAAAAAATGAATAATTTTGTACAGGGAAGGAATTAGATTGATCTTCAAAAATCATGAGTTTAGAAATTAAAAAATGTTGAAAATTTATGTGAATCTTGTTTCTGTAAGCCATAAGATCTTGAAGAAGGCTCAAGAACCCTAAAAAACCCCTATGATCATAAAAAAAAAAAAAAGCGAGTGTTTTTCAAATTAAAGTAGGTTTGATCTCATTATGTTGTTATTTGTTTGATTAAAGTGTTTCTTGATCATGGGTTGTGGTTGAAATCTCCTTTTAAAAACAGAAAAAATGGATTTTTTTTGTGGTTTAATTTGAGGAAGAACACTTGGAAGATGGTGGATTTTTGACTTAAAAAGTCAACTAATTTTTTTTAGGATAACAAAACATTACACAGTTTAAATCATAACACAAAATAAAATTACTTTATCAACTTATTATAAATTAGAATTATTTAACTTCTTCAAAAACTTCTTATTATCGATTTGACATCGATATAAATTGTTTATCCAAACATTCAAAAGTACTTATTAACGGTGCCATACTAAAATAAGTTAACTTATATTGTTTTTATAAGTAACCTCAAACACTCCTTTGATTGGGTTGTTTCCTAAAGGTTTTTTTCATAAAAATTTAAGAGGTGAACCTTGTTTGACAAAAAAAAAAAATTTATCACTTAATGATTCTAAAATCCTCTGAATGATTTTGTATTTAGGATTTTTCTTAATAATTAAAAGCCCTAATTTCATTGTATGTAATTTCCAAATAATTATATTTTATTTTGTATTATATTAAAAAGAACCTCTTAATCATTTAACATCAAATCATTCAACAATTGTTAAATAGATAGTTATATATAGCTGATAGAATAAGTTTTGATTATATTTGATGGGAAGGTGGGGGGACATGAAGTTAAAATGTTAGTTGGGAAGTTGAAAGAAAGAGAGAGAGAACACGGAATCAAATAGTAGTACAGGATTGATTTGGTGGAGTATGATCCTGCAGTTCAAAACCCACACGGGATCTATTTATTTATATATTATTAACTACAAAGTCAAAATGTACAACTTACAAAGCACAATGTACAATCCATACAGCATAGTATCCATTGCTAATAATAATTCTGCTCTTCCCATCTTTCTGCCCACTCTTGGCAGCAGCACCACCTTTTGCACCACCATTCTCCAGCTTAGGAGTTGGGTCAAGCATCTTTCTTCCCACATCCATCCATACCATGGAAATCACATCACCTGAATCATCATCTGTTCATTTAAACAATTTGTCTACTAAAAACACAACACTTCAAAGGCCTAACATTAATCCATTGCCTCTTAGGTGTACCTCAATTGGTAAACGGTTGGGGCGACTTTGTCCAAATACAAGATATATACGC